TTGCTGAAGATATAGAAATCCAAACGAATATGCTAAAGAAAAACCACGTTATGCTAAATGATTTCATAGCGCTATTTTTGAGAGGAAAGAAAACAGAATCTTTGGAGTCTTTGGAATTTTTGAAAGGCAGAAACAAAAAAAAAAATCCCAGATTCTTTTTTTTTTTCTTTCTTTTTTCTTTCTTTTTTCTTTCTTTTTTCTTATGTAGGATTGCTAATTTTATAAAACAATCCAAGATCAAAAAAAGATTTTTTAAGAATATTTATAAAATGAGAATAAAAATAATCAAGGCGATGTTTTTCTAACATTTATTTTAAATCTATTTTTTTCTAAAAAAAACTTTCTATTTTTTTTTTTATCGTTAGTTCGTAAAGTTGTATTGAAGAGAGTTTACAAAAGAAGTATAGCCCAATTGTTAAATTTTCTTTACATACACATGTGTATTATATTGCCTAATTTTGGATAATTGGATTTAATTATGTTTTTCAAATTTATGAACGTGTAACGGTGATCGATAAATATTGTAAATTAAAATTCCGGAAGTGTCATATCGATTTGTTAAATTTATACCAATTCATGCCGGAATCGAATTTAAAAATATGAACAAAGTAATATCACAATACGTGAAATAAGCTCAATACTTGCAATATGCCCGCAATATGCCCAATATGTTCGCAATATGCTCAAGCAATATGCTCAAGCAATTTACTCAATATGCTCGATATGTTCAATATGCTTAATGCGTGGTACTACATATATCAAATATGTATTTGATGGGATAACAAGATAAATAAGTAAAGTCTTTTGAAAGGTTTAAAAATAGAAATAATTGCATCGTATGCATAAACATAAATGCAATATATGATTCTTTGCATTGTAACAGTCAAGAACATACATACATTAGTAATATTGGATAAAAAAAATGGGACTACATGGTCAGAACCTAAATCATTCATGATGCTTACCTTTTGAAAAGTTAATATTTCAATCAAGAGAGATGATTATTCTTTTAAATGAAATTAGAAGACGCGAAGTTATATAGTCCAAGAATTTGTCTGCATGTTAGTTAACACATAAAGGGGTAAAAAAGAATTGTTACAATCCCCTTGTATCAACCCTTTTTTTTTTTTTGAATTTCCGTTGTTTAACGACAACGAGAATTTTGATTGGTATTTTAATATCATACGTAATACCTTTTTTTGGGGTTTTGAGCACTTGGCAAAAATATGACTTGGGAAATACCATTTTTAGTTTTTTGAAGTGAAATGAATATGTGAACTTCCCCTGCATCACAATCATCATATTGAAATATCTTTCTTTTTTACCATTCCGTACATACAAGAACTGACGTACTTGTACGTACGTACGTATGTAAAATGTGTAAAGTGCTACCAGATTTGTTTCTATCGATTTTCGATTCCGATGCGTAACGATTATTAATTAATATATATCATTAATTAATATTTCGGATAATACTGTATCGGTATGTAATTTTTTTCATAATTAACACACATAAAGTACTACGTACAGTACGTACGTACGTAATAACGATAAATTGTAAAATATAAGTTTATATATCAGATATATATTTATTTAAGAAATTCTTAACGTGAGAATAAGAAAAAAAAAGATTACACGTATACGTACGTACGTACAGTACATGCCGCCCAAACTAGATGTTAGAACATGCCGCCCAAACTTTAAATCCTCTGAATCCCAAAGATAGTAAAATTGTTTCAAATCCTAAAACCAAATCCAAAATCTAAAATCCAAAATCCAAATCCAAAATCCAAACCCAAAATCCAAAATCCAAAATCCTAAAACCAATATCCAAAATCCTAAAACCAAAAAATCCCAATAGTTTTTTATAATTACACGAGTACCAAAATTACCGAAATATAGAAATACCCCTATCTACGTGACGAATAATATCACATTAGGTATTTACTATCTTAATACTATTGTTGAAACCATGTGTCACTATTCATCGCATGACTTTGGAAGTCCCACATAGTTTGGGTAACGTCGCTAATATTGTCAACTACCAATTCTGGAAATCTTATGGATTCCCTAACTGGATGTGTCAAAAACCTATCACTATATCGGTCAACAATAACATTTCTATCACATGAAATCTAATCTATTTTCCTACATATATCAATTATCAATTTATTAATAATCCGATTTTAGTCTTTAAAAAAAAATGAAAAGAGGAAAACAAAAGATAACTGAGTATAATAAGGTTTGTTCCTTTTAATTAGGAACGTAATCTTTTATTTTTCACTTATCTTTATCAACCGATCTGTTGCTTTTTAAAGTCGACCTCTACAAATTCGAGAAAACCAAGACCAGAAGGGGGTAAAGCTGGGCAATGGTCTGCTTCAGGTTTAAACGAGCGATGTGGTGAAGAAGAAGAAAGAAATCTAAATGAACGATCAAATGGTGGCTCTAGACAACGAAACTCTAGAGGTAGAGGAAGAGGTAAAGGAAAAGGTCAAGGTGATAAACGAGATAATCGAGGTCCGGTATTACCAAGGCTCAAATATCGTTTTGATATAAAGTCCGAAGAAGAAAAATCTGTGGATAAAACTGGATTCCGGTCTATACCACTTATACCTACCCCAGAAGAACTCCTTGATGATCGACGTATTGATCTTCCCATCAACAAAATTGAAGAATCCTATGAATCAATAGATGAATACCTTGAAACTCATTACAGTTTAATGCGCGAAGATTTCATTAGGTCACTTCGTGTAGGAATCCAACGTTTAAGGAATCCTGATAAAGTTGATAAAGACAAAGACAGAAATACTGATATACGGATTTATGAGCATGTATGGTTTATGTATATATATTTTTTTTCATTTTATTATTATTATTATTTATTATATTTATTCAATTCAATTCAATTACATTCAATTCAATTACGTTCAATTCAATTCAATTCAATTACATTCAATTACATTCAATTACATTCAATTACATTCAATTAAATTCAATTCAATTCAATTTCAGGTCAGTTTAGTTGGTGTTACATTCTCCTCTACTAGTGGTGTAGTTCATCGTATATCTTTCAGGACCCAGCATTCAGAACGTGTCAAATGGTATGTATTTTTCTTTATAGTTTGAATTTTATTTTATTTTATTTTATTATATTTATTATTGTTTACTCTCTCTTTTATCTTATTTATGAAATTTATCGAATTACATAACAGGGATTTTAGTAAACGTTTGATTCCAGGAACCTTAGTTGTTTTATCTAATGACAATTTTGAGACCATGAAATTTGCTATTGTTGCCAGCAGACCATTGGAATTACTTGGAAAGCCTTATGACTTACAAGTTGAAGTCTCTTTCAAACCAGAAGATGCTGAATTCGTATGGCCAGAAAAAGGCTATACTATGGTATGTATTATTAATTACTTTGCGTTAGAGTATTTCGTTTAAATTTATTGAATCGATATTATATATATATTTTTTTTGTTAAAAAATAGGTTGAGTCAACAACTTATTTTGAAGGTTAGACTTTGAACTTTATGTTTTTATCAAATATTATCAAAATATTAAAATATTTGTTATTATGATGTTTGCATTTAGCTTATCGTCATATTATGAATGTCCTCCAAAATTTGGATCCTAAGTCATTACCTTTCAAATCGCAAATTGTCGACCTTGTTACAGATATTGATGAACCTGAATATTTAAAACGTCGTCATCCTGTATATGAGTTTAAAAACATATCTTCATTTGAAAAGATTAAAGAAAATTATGGAACATCAAGGGTAACTTTTTTCCCCTTTTTAAATATTTGTAAATATTTTTAAATATTTTTAAATAGATAAATAGAAAATATCTATTTATATATATATATATATATATATTCTATTCCTGTTTAACGATTCCTTTGTCATTTAGATTGATATTAGTAAAGAATGGCCTCCATTAGAAATATTGGATACATCTCTTCATTCTTCTCAGTATGAAGCTCTTAAACAAATGTTGACCAAACGTTTAGCATTGATTCAAGGTCCTCCGGGTACTGGAAAAACTTATGTTGGTCTGACAGCTGTTCAATTATTAATTGAAAATACTTCTGGAACTATTATGATTGCATGTCAAACAAATCATGCTCTAGATCAATTTCTTGAAGGTATTCAAAAATTTGAACCAAAGATAGTTCGATTAGGTTCAAGATCTCAAAATGAAGAAATAAAAAAACTGACATTATTTGAAATAAGAAGAGAATTAAAACTTTCGGATCAGGAATCTACTTTTAATCCTGATGCTAACAGATTATTTCGTGAGCGTAAAATGCTTGAAAAGGAGATGAAACCTTTACTTGAAGAAATTCATAATCCGTGTGTAACAATGGAATTTATTCAGAAAGAAGGCATTCTTACTGAAAAACAAATTGCTAGCCTTAAGGAGGATGATGATGATTGGGTTACAAGTAACCCTAACGTAGAAGATGAAGAAAAAGATTATATAAAAGTGTGGCTAGAATCTTCAATTATGACTCATTCATCTTTGCATAATGATTTAGAATATTTAACATTACAAGCTATTAATGAAGATAAAAATGTAGCTGATAATGATGATGAAGTAGATGATGAAGAAGAGATATCAGCCGTAGCTGCTGAATTTCAAGGTGTAGATGAAGGGAAAACAGTATCAGGAGAATACGTTATTGTGCGATCGGATACATTTGTAGCATCTACATATGTTAATGAAGATGACTTGAAAAAATATATGGATTATGAAAATTTATCAAATGTTCCTCAATATGTGAGAGCCGCAATGCATAATAAATGGAGGCAAAAAAGATTGGATTTTGTAAATAATAAATTGTATGAACTTAATAAAAAATATTCAAAATTATGCGAACAAATAAAGTACGAAAGAATTCGTGAAGATCTCATGATTCTTAAAGATGCTAGAGTTGTTGGAATGACAACAACTGCAGCGGTAAGCTTTTTATATAATGATTAATATAATTATTAATATAATTTATTAATATAATTTATTAATATAATTTATTAATATAATTTATTAATACAATTTACTAATATAATTACTAATATAATTATTAATATATAATGATTATGATGATTGTCAATTATTCGTTAATTAACATGAAACATGCAGGCAAAATATCATGAATTAATCATGAATTTAGAGCCAAAAATTTTAATAGTCGAAGAAGCTGCTGAAACAGTAGAATCGCATATTATCACTGCTTTAACACCAACAATAGAACATTTAATATTGATTGGGTACACATACAAAAATTATTTATTCGTTAAACAGTATATTTCGAAAAATATGTTATAAAAGTTTTTTTTTCGTTTAGAGATCACAAGCAACTTCGACCAAATATTTCTGTCCACGAACTTGCAGAAAAACATGTGAGCAACTTGTATCAATCAAGAATGAATTATGATTACTTGATGAGATCACTGATTCAATAATTTACTCGCGATACTATGTAGTTTCTTGACGTATCACTATTTGAACGTTTGACTAAGAAGTTAGATTACACACCACTGACAGAACAACGTCGTATGCGAAAAGAGATTAGTAAACTACTAGAACCAATTTATGGTGATACTCTTACTATCACTGATCATGAATCAGTTAAAGAATACCCACGTATTCCTGGATTATTCCATGATTTATTTTTCTTTGATCATCAAGAAGAAGAATCATCTGTTAAAGATTCTACGAGCAAGATTAACAAGTTTGAAGCACAATTATGTGCTAAATTTGCATGCTTTTTGGCAAATGGGGGAATTGAACCGGAAAAAATGTAAATATATAACACAATTCTATTTGATTGATTAAATCTATTAAATTGACTAGATTGATTGAATTGATTGAATTGATTATTGATAATGATGTTATGTTTATTTTTCAACGTGCAAAAGTACGATTCTTAGCATGTATTCTAGTCAACGTAAAGAAATTAAGAAAGTTCTTCGTGATGAAAGCAGAAAAGTTGAAGTAGATGAAGCTGTAAAAGATATACATGTTAGTTCTGTTGACGGATTTCAAGGAGAAGAAAATGATGTAATAATCCTATCCTTGGTAAGAAGTCGAGATCCAAGATGTGGTATTGGTTTTTTGAGCGTAAGCAATCGAGGTAAATATATATATTTTTTTTCGAATTTGTTTGAAATATTTGAAATATGTAAAAATAAAATAAAAAATGTATATAGAAATATATATATCTATATCTTTATATAATAATAATGATAATAATAATGGCAATTTTATTTTAAAAACAAATAGTGTGTGTTGCATTGTCACGTGCTAAACATGGGTTGTATGTTTTTGGTAACGCATCTCAATTGAGAAAGCAATCAGAACTTTGGAAAGATATTTTGAAAATCTTTGGTGGTAGAGATGCATGTGGCCAATCATTAATGTTATTTTGCCAAAAACATTCTAACTTTGAGACCGGCCTTGATGGTTTGCCTAAACAGCTTGTTATAACATCAGTTACATGGGCTGGAGATATTCCATCGTCAGGTGGATGTGCGAGAAAATGTGAAGAAATCATGGCATGTGGACATGTAAGTCAAATTTATTTAGGTGTTGTTTAAAGCAAGTCCTGTTAATTAAAATTTATAACTATATTTCCACAGAAATGTCCTTTGGACTGTCATATATACCCACATGAGGACCGAGTTGAATGTTGGGTGAGTATCACGTTATTTATATATTTATGTTAATTTATACTTTTATATTATTTTAGATTTTAGATTATTTTTTATTATTTTAGTTCGTTATTTTACTTTTATTATTTA